GGTGGTCGGCAGATTATCTGAGTGGTCGACATTCGTCGGTAATGTTTAGAGACAAAACGACAACCCTAACGGCCTTGTCCCTGTGGACAAACCCCACAGAAGCTGTACGCTTCCTAGGGTTGCCGTTAGTGGAACTTGACGACAACGACTGAGATACCAACCGTCCTGGGCGGGGTTGTTGTAGCCGCTACAACAACAACAACAACATGATCGACTCGATCGACAAATTTCGCAATAGGGGCCTAAGAGTATGCGATCGATTTCATATACATACGTCAATACCGAGTTCCAGAACTCTACCATGATTATTTCCAGAGATATGGAGTATGAAAAATTCGATTTGTATGGGAGGTTCCACGCCCCTTTTATATATCGAGATTTTTGTTAGCCTATAACCATCCTTTGAACGTCTGCAGCAGGACTCCGAAATTTCGAAAGAATCGGTTCAGCCGTTCTCGAGCTTTGCGATATACATAGAATCTATGTCATAGATGGATAAAAGTTGTTGCTTTTAATATTGCGCTCACTTAGTACGTACAAAAAAACATAGCAGCAGCGTTTTTATGCATAATCTAGTTCGTTTTGCCTCCCTTTTTCTATAGTCCCGAACCAGTTCCAAATTCGACAGATGAGATCTAGTTCGTTCTGCATCCCCTTTTCTTTAGTTCCAAACCAGTTCCTAATTCCACAGATGTGATCTAGTTCGATCTGCATCCATTTTTTATAGTTCCCAACCTGTTATAAATTCGTCACCTTAGATCTACATTTCTAATGAGGCTTGTCGAAACATTTTCCTTTTATATCAAATACGATCGGTTGAAGGAAGGACAATACCATCACAAATGTTTAAACGCATTTATTAACAATTTATAAGCCACATTAGTAGTAGTAGTGGTATTAAACTTAAGTAGTAAGTAAACGTTCTGCTTAAAAGTAAAAATATTAGTTCACTTTGTCTTACTTCTCTAAATTTAAGCATATTGGCGCGTATTCGAAGTCCAGCAACTAAGTCGAAACTAACAAAGTTGCAACTTAAATTTAAGTACCAACTTAAAATTTACTTCGATTCATAGTCGCATTTCAGACTTCTACTAAGTAGTTTCGACTTAGTTTACGATATAGCAAAACGAGTATGAAAATATATCGATTTTTCTTTACGATATTTTAGAAAAATTACATTTTTATTAAATAATGTCAAGTTTGATCATCCGCTTATGTAATTTTTATTTTCATGGCATGATTATGCAAAAGAATAAGGCATCATTTTCTTGTTAATTGTGTGAAATAGCCAGAACAACCGCAGTGATGTGAAGTGGATGTTTATCGAAAGCATGCTGTGAAACATACAAATAGTTGATATCTAAATGTTATGCACAAATTTACTTTAAAAGAACTATTGTGAAACTGACTTATTATTTGAGAATTTATCTAAATTATTCCAATTATAAAATTGTGATGTAGCTTTATTCGAATTGTAATACGGATTTAATTTCATCTTCCGATTAAAATGGATCGATCGATCTTTGTAAATTTTAGTTGGAGATTATTCAATATTATCAAAATCACCCTCTACCAACTTAATTTTTACATATTTCGTCTGTTTTCCCTTAATTTGATAAAATACTTCTTCCTAGTTACGACTTAGTTGCAGCTGCAGCCGAAACTAAATTTTAAGTTGGTACTTAGCTGGAAAGTCGAAACTAAGGCGACTATGAATAGCTTTAGTTGTGACTTAGAATAGTTTCGACTTAGTTGAGTACTAATTATGACTATGAATATGCGCCATTGATATTAAGTAAATTCAGTTCTTTTTAAGCTTATATGTATATGAAGTACTTCAAAAGTTTTTGTCGTACTTAACTTAAGTAAGATATACAGCCAGTCAATAAAGTTTGGGTACAGCGAAGTTTTTACAATACCGGCAACTATTTTTTAATTATTTTATTTTTCCCTAATTTTTTATATTTAAGTATGGTTAATTCTACACAAAAACTCCAAAAATCGGAGTTCCAAACCTTATGCAAAATTAAAGAAAACTGCAAATTTCCATCCAAATATTGCAATTTACACTCTTTAGAAAAAAGTTAAGTACGCAGTTTTTTAGCCCATTCAATTTTAGTATAACAAAGTGCAAGTTTGAGGTAGCTAGGACTTACCATTGATATTTAGCAATTTTTTTTGTTGTTTGGTAAGTCCTAGCTTCCTCATACTTGCACTTCATTGTAATAAAATTGAATGGGCTAAAGAACTGCAAGCTAAACTTTTTTCTAGAGAACGTAAATAGAAAGTGAATTATTTTAATGAAATTTTGCAGAATTTTTTAACTTTTGCACAAGGTTTGGAACTCTGATTTTTGGGGATTTTGTTGTAGAATTGACCATATTTTTATAAAAAATTATCGAAAACTAAAATATTTAAAAAATAGTTGCCCGTAAAAATTCGTTGTACCTAAACTTTATTGACTGACTGTAGTGCTGGATTGCATAAAAAAAGTTAATTTGTCTTTTCTTAAAAAAAAGGTAGTTCTGGTGGCTTGCATTTTTAAATAAATTTAGTGAGAAAGTGGTAATTATTTTGACACTTTTTTTAAATGCCTCTTTTTCTGCAACTGCATTGCCTTTCTCAATTGTCCTCCAGGATCTTGGCCTTTGTTTATGGAATCACTAAGTATAATGTTTATTAAGCAACTCAAAAACTATGCCAGCGTCCTTTTGAGAGGCAGCCGCACCCTTATAAAAGGAATAAGATCCAAACTTTTCAGGTCAAAATTTCAGTAGGTTGCGTCTCTATGGCCCTTTCAATTTTATAAATTATCATTATTTTTAAGTGGAAAAATAAAAATCATAAAATAATCATTATTTGTAATCCCAAAAATAAAAATCAAATAATAATTATTTCCGTTTGAGCGAAAAAATAAAATCCAATAATAATTCATAAAATAATGATTAAAGTTGATTTAAATTATTTTACTCATAATGATTACTGTTGAAGTGTAATAACTGCTTCTGCTTACCGACAAAGGATTTAAAACGAACAAAGTAAAGACGTTTGAGTTGTATAAAAATGTATTGTTAAGGTTTCTACTTTTACAAACACGTAAGCGCTTAACTTGTACATTTAAACATAAAATATGAAATACGAAGGATTGACTGGCAGTCGGTAAGAGCTTAAATAGTCGTAGGTTGAACGTTGAAGGTTTTAGCTTGAAGGCTGCTGTTTTACACTTGTGTTGCTCGTGCGCTGTCTAGAGTCCTTATGTCATGGCCGACGAAAATATATACCAAAGTTGGTTGCAGTTAAGGCGTATTAAACATACATTTTGGTTGAGGTTCTTATTCGTGGTGTTGCCAACTTTCAGCAAACTACCAGGGTTGCTAACACCCCGCCCCCCGTGAATCCTCACAGGATTCACCACCAACTTCTAGCTTTGCTAAACGCGAAACTGGTCTGCGTAGTAGTCCGCCTTTCGTTTGCACCTCCACGACACGTACTTGTCCGTCTTTGGCGGGAAAAACTTGAGTTATGCGGCCGCGTACCCATTGACTACGGGGCAGCGTTGAGTCGCACAACATCACCAGGTCGGTAGCTTGAAGCGGTATTGCATTGTCCTGCCACTTAGTGCGGCACAGTAGCTGAGGCAGGTACTCGGTTGTCCATCGCTTCCACAACCGATCCTTGAGGTTTTGCGCGATTATCCACTGCTTCCTTAGGCAAATCTTCTCGTCAACTGGGTGCGGCGTCTGCGTTGAATTTACGCATCCCAACAAGAAGTGATTGGTTGTTAGCGGCTCATCTTATTCATGGCTTATGGGCAGGTCAGTTAGCGGTCGGGAGTTGATGATATTTTCTGCTTCTATGAATACGCTGTGCAGAGTGTCGGGTCTTGGGGCTACCTCACGCAATGTCTTGTTTAACAGCGACTTTATAACTCTTATCAAACGCTCCCAGCAGCCACCCGAACTGGGGTTCAGCGGACAGTTAAATATCCACTCGATGTTGTGTCTGCCAGCATCGGCTTGAACGCGGTCAGTGTCTAACAACTGCTCAGCTGCCCTCAACTCCCTTTGTGCGCCAATAAAATGTGTCCCATTATCGCTCCTTATTCTGGATGGCGTTCCATGTCGGTTTGCAAAATTCCGCAGGCATAAAATGAACGCATCGGTACTCAAGTCGGTAGCTAGCTCGATGTGTGCAGCTCGAACCGTCAGGCAGGTAAATATAACGCCCCACAGTGGTTCGGATAGCAGATCTAGCTGGACAAAAGTCAAAATTTTTTTGTTTTTAAAATACTTAATGGTACTTGGAATACATTCCTGACAATACATTCAAATAGAAATTGCATTTATTAAAGCATTGTGTGTGTTAAAACAGAAAAATACTTGGAGTTATAAAAACTTTGGTTATGTAAATAAATAAAAAAATAATAATAATAATGAAGCACAATTAACAAACATCGTTAAAGACGAAAGGCAAGAATAATACATATTCTAGTGGTTATCATAACTATACGACACCCACATAATGACAAGTTTTGACAACTTGTTTTATTACTATTTAATCTTAATTATTTTTCATAAAAATGTACTATGCACTTTAACAAAACACATATCAATCCAAGTTTCAAATTTTGTGCAATATTTGAGAAAAAAACCAACAAACTTTCGCAAAAACTTCGATGTTCTTAATTAAGTTTCTTAGAAAGATATTGGGTATGCAGTTTTGTAGCCCATTAAATTTTAGTAAACTAAAGTGCAAGTTTGAAGTACCTAGGGCTTTTCGTTGATTTTTGGAATTTTTTTGGTTGACGATGTCAGTCATTTTCTGACATACGAAGTATGTTCGATTTTTGGTTTTATATGGAGAATATGAGCAATACCTTCAACAAAAAAAAAAAATTCCAAAAATCTTTCTGTTTTAATAGAACTGAATGGGCAACAAAGCTGCATACTCAATATCTTTCTAAGAAACCTAATTAAAGGCATCGACATNGACGCCTGTATATGTAAATGGGCGCATGAACGGAGTTATGCGGTCGACCGGCAGCTGACCCATCATAGGTTGGTTTGGCTTTGCTTTGTCGATCATACACCGTTGGCACCTTTGCTGAATTACCTTGAGGAGCGGTTTCAAATTCGGTATCCAAAACTGTTGTCGGATGGCATTAATGGTGATTGCGGAATTCTGGCGATGATTTATTTTGTGAAAATGTTGTACAATCAGGGTTGACACGATATGTTTGGCGGGCATCAATATCGGTCATCGTGCTTGCATTGGTAGGTATGTTGCCTCGTCGATGCGTCCGCTCAATCTTAATAGGCGACTTTGGTCGAGATACGGCGAAAGCTTATACAGCGCACTCCGTTTGGCGATTTTACCGGCGACTGACAAACCTGCGATCTCGCTCGAAAAGCATTCTCGTTGGACTAGTTCGCATACTATATGCTCTGCTTTCTTTATCTCCGTTGCTGTGAGGCTTGACGACATGGGCGTTGTACTGTTTCTCTGTTTTCGAAATAGTATTGTTGCTCGCATCACCCAGGCTGTTGTTCGTAATAGCTTTGTGAAGGAGCTAAACCGTGAAAAATTGATGACGGCACTGCCGTGTTGCACCACCAAAACTGGAACAGATATTTCTTCTGGGAGCACTGGTGACGCTGTGATCGTAGACGTGAGCCAATACTCTTCGTCGTGCTCGTCGAACTCGGGGGGGCTTTTACCCAACGGCTGCTACTGTCAAACTTGGGTGGACACAAGGGGCGTGTTGCTACGTCTGCTGCATTTTGACAAGTTGACATCCATCGCCACTGCACTTTTGCCGTTGTGCCGAGAATCTCGGCTATACGATGGCCGACGAACGCCTTATACTTTCTTTCCGACGAATGCACCCATTGCAGAACCGTCTGGGAGTCGGTCCAAAAAACTGCTCGCTCTATGTTGAACTCGTGGCTGTCCTCGATGAGCTTGTACAAGCGGGTGCCCAATACTGCGGCGTGTAACTCGAGTGTCGGGATCGACATAAGTTTCGCTGGTGCTGTGCGTGTTTTGCCCATAATGAAGCGAACGTCAACTCCATTAATATGAAGTACTCGAACGTATACTACCGCAGCAAATGCGACTTGACTGGTGTCGACGAAAGTGTGGATTTCTACCTTGCCACCGTGTAAGATTTGCGGCGAATAACAGCGGGGTATTTTCAACTGCTTCACGTTAGGAAACTCTTGCCACCAGGACCACCATGTCTTGCTTAGTTCTTGAGGCAGAACTTCGTCCCAGCCAATCTCGCACTTCCACGATTCTTGAATGAGAATTTTAGTAGTAATTAAAAATGCTGCTAACATTCCAAATGGATCGAATACCGACATCACGATTCGTAACAACTCTCGTTTTGTCGGAGCTCGTATTCCGTGCAGGACATCTTTCGGCAAACGGTGGAACTTCGTGTGGAATTCGAAAACGTCATCGCTTGTGTTCCAGTAGATGCCAAGCACTTTGTCCACTGACCCGTTGTGTTCCAGGCTAACCAATTCTCTCACGGATAACGGCGAATGATTCAAACGATCTTCTACTTCTTCGCAGTTGGAGACGAAGTTCCGCAACTCGAACCCAGCTTGTGAATTGATCCTGACAATGTCGCTGCATATACTGATGGCCTGTTCAGGCGTGTCGAAGTTTGCAACTAAATCATCGACATAATGCTTGTTAATTACAGTCGTTGCGGCGTCTGGAAACTGTGCTCGATACTCCTCGGTGCTTTTGTTTTTTATATATTCGGCGATGCAGGGTGAGCAAACAGCACCGAAAATTAACGACGTCATCACATACTCTGCCACAGGCTTGCTCGCATCACCATCACACCACAAGTACCGTTGAGCGTGCTTATCAGTTTCGCGTATCTCGATTCGCGAAAACATTTCGCGTATGTCTGCGGACACTTCGACACGTCCCTGGCGAAACTGTAGCAAAATCCGTATCAACGGCTGTGCTTGCTCCGTACCCTTCAATAGCTGCGAGTTGAGCGACACGTTGTTTACTGCGGCTGCGGCATCAAAGACGATTCGCCTCTTTTCGGGCTTATGCTGGTTGAATACGGCAAAGTGAGGTAAGTACCAAGCATTTTGGTGTGGCTCTCTGGCTTCGTCACGGCTTAACTTTCTGGCATACCCTTTGATCACGTACTTAGCCATCTCTTGTCTGTATCGTGTACCAAACTCGGCATCGTTCTGCATTTGGCGCTCCACTGTCAGTAAGCGTTTTTCGGCCATTGCTTTACTGTTTGGCAACTTCGGTGGATATGTTCTCCATAGTAAACCGGTTTCATATTGCTTGCCTACTCGTTTAGTTGTTCGGCGCAATATTTCACGTGCTCAAGCTTGGTTGGGCCGTACGCGACCCAGCCTAGTAGTGTTTCTACAGCTAGCGGGCTGTCGATGTCGGCTTGCACTGTTGCTGAGGTCACACCCAGGTATGCGTGCTTTAGCCCGATGAGCAAAACTGGCTTCGCATGACAGTAGTTTTTTATCGGCAAATCTCTCAAATACTGAACATTTTCCTTGGCCATAGACTGCTCTGGCAGGTTCAGGTTCTTAACCGTGTATACCTCCTTCAGTATAAACTTTCTCTTCGTTGCATAATTCTCAACTTCGATTCTTATTTTATGCGATTGTTCCGTAACAACGTTGTTGTCATACCACTGCAGCCTAAGTGGTTGCAAGCAACCCTGGGCTCCGATCATCTTGGACACTTCCTCTTCCATTATTGAAATTGACGAACCCTCGCCGAACATCGCTAATATCTCACACTTACCTTTCGGTCCATATATATTTTGACTGGCAATATTTTAAACAGCTGACCATGTGCGCTTTGTGTTTCTCGACAATTCAGTAGTGTCTGCGCAATGACATCCTCTCGTGTAGTTCGGCGTAGCATCTGCATTGTTGCATCTTCGTTGTGAAGTAGCTGGTGGTGATAGCGCTGGCAGCCACTTATGTTACACCTCCTTCTTGCACGACACTTTTGTGTGGAATGCCCCTTGCGTAGACACGAAAACCAATCTGTTGCGCCTTAACCAGGTCCCATCGCTCTTGAATACTGCTTGTCTTAAACGAATCACACTGTGGAAGCATGTGATTACCACTACACTGATAGCAAGTAAGTGAGTCCTTTGGCCGCTCAATATGCATCAGCCGACGAGGATTGCCCGATGATGCAGACTGCCTGCCACTCTGTGTGCTGATCGTCGGCATAAGACAAATTATTTTAGCTAACTCGCTAAGCCACTCAGAAAAATGTTCAACTAATGGATACGGTTGTATAGTCGCAGCATGCTTCGCCCAGTCGAACTGTCGGTTATGCGGTAACTTACCCACCATTTGCACTTAAGAAATGCAACAACATTTCTCATTCTCGAGGAAAACGGTACAATCTGCTCCGGCTTATTATCGGCTATTGGCGGGAAATGCTGCAGTTTACTGATTTGGAATTTAACCAAAATGTCTGGTCGCCCGAACCTGAACTCCAACTCGCTTATGACGTTCGGCACGTTGCTCGGGTAAATTAGCATGGCGGCGACAGCTTCTTTGGCGGGACCAACTAAGCACTTCTGCAACCTCATAAGGTTTTGGCGGTGGCTGCACCCAAAGGTCTCCGTTGAAATTCGCGAAAAATAGTGGCCAGTCTTCGACATTGCCGCTGAACACAGGCAAATCGTAAAGTTTTACTTGCGAGTCGGTCGGTGCTACGACGGCTTGAGTATTGTCATGCTGTGCTGGCTGCACGCTCTGCTCTGGAATATTCTGTGCTTGCATGCCTTCGCGAAGCCTTATTATGTCCCTTTGGCTCTCCGGAGTGCTTTGTCTAAGCTCTTCTTAGGAAGCCCTTAACGCATTCAATGTAGCAATTATAGCATTCGCGCTGTCTTCTGCGGCTGCACCAGACCGTCCATGCTTTCAAACGATGACTCCGATTCACTCCTTTGATTCTCGCTCGTGACACCGGCCCGATTTCGTAAAAAATATCGGTTAGTTTCAGACATACAAAATGGCCTCCGGTACCAACTTTATTCGTTTTCACCGACAGCGTACCAGAGTGTAAAATATGTTGAAGTGTAAGAACTGCTTCTGCTTACCGACAAAGGATTTAAAACGAATAAAGTAAAGACGTTTGAGTTGTATAAAAATGTATTGTTAAGGTTTCTACTTTTACAAACACTTACGCGTAACTTGTACATTTAAACATAAAATATGAAATACGAAGGATTGAACGGCACTCGGTAAGAGCTTAAATAGTCGTAGGTTGAAAGTTGCAGGTTTTAGATTGAAGGCTGCTGTTTTACACTTGTGTTGCTCGTGCGCTGTCTAGAGTCCTTATGTCATGGCCGACGAAAATATATACCAAATTTGGTTGCAGTTAAGGCGTATTAAACATACATTTTGGTTGCAGTTCTTATTCGTGGTGTTGCCACTTTCAGCAAACTACCAGGGATGCTAACAATTACCTCCCCTGCTTTTAAAATTTAAAATAAAATATTTTAGTGAAAGTACCATATTTCACTGCTTTTGGACTGGTGCGGAACTAGTTACTATCGCACTGGTTCGTTTTTGGCGAAAAAGAACTAGTACTGAACTAGAAATCTGGTTCACTAGTCGTGTTTTCCCTACAGGGTAAGAATCAACATTAACGTTAACATTAGCACGTGTGTATATGTATTAGGGATGCCAATCCCGGGATCCCGGGATCCCGGCGTTTTTGACGTCCCGGCAATCCCGGGATTTGCTTGCATTAATACCGGGATCCCGAAAATTTTGAAATATCGAATTGATAGTAAGAATCTGTTTATGAATTTTGAAGTGATGATGAAAATGCCGTTTTGACTGCAGTCAACAAAAAGCTTGAAACTGTACTTTTAATTTGCAGTCTGAGCCTTTTTATACCCGAGCGCACTTGTGCACAAGGGTATTATAACTTTGTTCACATAACGGTTGTTTGTAACAGGCAAAACGAAACGAGATAGATATAGACAAATGTATACATAAATGATCACAATGAAAATAGAAATCGATTAAGCGGTGACTGCCTGTCCGTCCGTCCGTCCGTCCTTCTGTGCACACGATAACTCGAGTAAAAATTGAGATATCTTAACGAAACTTGGTACGTGAACTTCTTTTGGGCGTAGGACGGATGGTATTGAAAATGGGCGAAATCGGACAATAACCACGCCTACCTCCCATACAACGCTAATTTTCAGAAATACGAAAACTGCGATATTTTAGTAACTACTGAAGATAATTCACTCAAAATTGATATTGAGTTGATGAGTTTCAGACGGAAAACATTAATATTATAAAATTTGGGAAAATGGGCGTAGCCACGCCCACTTATGGTTACATGTGTATATCTTGGTAACCGCTGCACCAATTTCTTCCAAACTTGGCACAGTTGTTGGCCTTGGTACACCATGTCAATTGGGCGAAAATTTTTAAAATCGGACAATAACCACGCCCACATCCCATATAACGGTAATTTTCAGAAANCAATTTGTAGCAAACTCGGTATGGCTATTGTGCTTGCCACATAGAAGCAAAACGTTGAAAATTATTGAAATCGGACTAAAATTAAGGCCGCTTTTCATATAACGGTAAATTTCAGAAATGCTTGAAATTTCAATATTTCGAAATTTAAGGACGCTAATTTACTTAAAATGTATACACCCCGGCTTATCATGTAGCGGTAGCTTTCGGAAAGGTGGAAAACTTATATTTAATACTTGCGCCAGGTATTTAATGTTCGGCTCCGCCCGAACTTAGACTTTCTGACTTGTTTGAAGAAGATTTCAATGAATTTACTCATAGCGTCGCTAATGTAAACGAAACAGAGAGTTTTAAGGAAAAGTTAGATAATTTTTTAGATCAATCTANAAGTTCAAATATTTTGTAATGGAGGAGATAGGGGTCATTATCTTCAAATGGATTATGTCTACCTTTTGACAGTTCAGCCTAAAAGTGTTGATGCCGAAATATGTTTTTCATCAGTAGGTTTTGTATGTAAAAACTGCAGGTCAAGCTTAGAAGACTCTGCTTTGAATGCTTTGCTGCTCTTACGAAAACATTTTAAGTGCAATAATAACAACACCGGCAAAAAAGGGGTGTGTGTTTTTAGCCAGACCCAACTACCAACATGTATTTCGACCCGCTGAATCTATTTTTATATGAAACTTCTAGTAAATTGCGAAAAAATGGCAAAAAATTCTCCATTCGCCATTTCTTTATAGAGTAGAATAAACATGTTTAGAGAAATTGTTTTTGTATATTTTTGTTTTATGTTTCTTTTATTAATCGTCACTTTCAAAAGTACCTGGTATTTACATTATTATTTGTGATGTATACGTTCCTCAATCACATGGTTTTTTAAATACAATAAAAAAGGTTTTACTTTAAAATTTGTCTGAAATATCGCTAGCGTAGAGTGCAAAGTTACTAAGTCCCAATTTAAAAATTGTACAGGAGAGGAAAAAACTTCGTATAGCCATTTTCGTCAAGTATTTCGCAAAACTTTGAATACAACATTTTACCTGTTTAAAGCAAAGCAAAACTCATACGAATCATATTCATAAAACTCATATTCATAAAATTTATGACTCAATTTGAATCCCGGGATTTATCCTAAAAATTATCCCGAAATCCCGGGATCCCAATTTTCCTGATATTTTGGCATCCCTAATATGTATACATAACCCTTGTTTTGTGCCGTATTTCGTACAAATTAAAAGAAGAGGGCGCTCTTATTTGTGATTGGCAGGTGAGTAGCGCTGTTATGTGTGCATGTATGTTAGATTCTATAGAATTTTTAAAGTCCTGCAGTTCCCTTTTTTAAAAAGTATTTAAACTTTGCCTAAGACAATGAGAAGCCCATCCAGAACCTATAACCAAAATTTCAGAAAAATTGTTACAGCCGATCTCGAGCTTTGCGAACAGAAAAAAAGCGGTTTTCAAAATATATAATATAGATGAGCAATTTTTCCATACAAGAAAAAGGACGAGAGGTGAATTGGCTCATTTGTTATTAATGTCGGATCCGGAACTATGATAACTTAGGTCTACAAAACAAAAATAAAATTATGAATTTGAAAAAATTGAGGTATATATTTTAAAAGACAACATTATAGATTACATTTGAAATCTTATTTATGACAAAATTTTGAAAAAAAAATTTACTTATGATCCTGTTTAGAGAAAATATTAAATTATAAATTTTTTCAATAACTAAAATTTATAAAGGAGAAAGTCATTTCCTGATACCAAATGAAACAAAATTTGACAATAGTTAAAAAATTTAACTTATAAGTTATTACTTGTTTTTAATGTACTCTGATCACAAATGTAGATAAAATCTAGTTTTTGAGAAAAAGGATATATGGACGAATCTCCGGAACCGTGTGCTTTTGTGCCACTCACCTTTAAATTAATTTTATTAATGTAATTTTAGTTTTTATAAAAACTTAGGCCATTTTGATAACAAAT